TACTTTGAGAAGATAGTCTGATCCATGTTCATGTATTAAACACCCCGGTAACTGCAGGAACATTTCTGCTTTCATGCTAACGCTTTACCATGAAGGCCCGTGGAACGTACAGAAAGTCAAGACGGCAACTTGAAATTCAGATTGCATCTAATCGGGGGTTTGAAGGCAAACAGAAAAACACGGTCTCAGCTAATCTACCAGGGGTTTTGTACTGCATGCGCACGACAACTTCCTGTCCGTCACAGGCGTTCTTTCCACTTCCTGCCATTGACCTATTCTGCAGCGGAGCGGCAACACCGCATTTTCCACTCGGGGGTCCTCTCGTTGTGAAACCCGCAGCTCTTTAGAGTTGGCGTCTTACACTGTTGCAGGCCGCCGACGAGCTGGAAGTGTGATCACAGCACACCTCCAGGCACCTCCATTTTAGCCCTGCTAAACAACGAAAGAAAGACTCCGGCCACAAAGACGTAGGATGTTTGATTTATAGAAAAAGTTGGAAATATTTACATTTATAAAGTCATTGAAATGTTTTAGGAATTAAATACAGTTTGAACAACAGGAGGGTGATTGGGCAGGAGATCTTCAGCCGCTTCCTTTGTGCTCCACCCGCTCAAAGTAGTCAAAGGATTCATACACGGTAACCTGGCACTAAAAGAATCAAAGAAATATAACATGTTATTACAAGACTGCTTTCTCTGTGCAGCAGCGTTCATGGTCCTCAAAAGTAGATTTTTTTCTCACTTTCAGATTAGCTGACAAGACATAATAGGCATGAACAGGATCTCTTTAAGAGTTTTCTTAATATTAAAATGGACAAAGCATGCAACACATATTTTTTCCAGTGAATTTTTATCACACTCACCCACTGGGAAGAGCCTCTGGAGGAACTGGTGCTGTGCTTGTCCATCTCTGCTACATCCGAGTCAGTGTGGGGCACTTCATAGATCACCCTGACTGCTTCTGTCGGATCAAACACACACACCTGATATGGACTGTAGAGAAATAAAAAGTTCTCTATTTGTCTGCCAAATGTGAAGATATCTGACTGGGAAAAAGGTCAACATGAATAATCATAATACACAGCCGTCCATCCATTATCTACACCGCTTATTCCTAGTAGGGATCACGAGGGGAGCCTGTCCCAGTTTATACTGGGCGAGAGTCTGAATTCAGACTGTATTTTTGCCTTGAAATAACTTTTGTTGTGTTTTTTGCTATATCAATGAAAATTAAATTGAATGTCCTCATCTAGGAGTGATTACCAGTCCTTTATTTGATGTCCTTCTGTCAGTGTGTAGTGGCCCCCATGATTTGGAGGGATCATTTCGCATCTTGCAAGGTTTAAAGTTACCGAGTTCAATGTTAAATATGGATGGTAATCTGATAAAACTACAGCAAATCTTCATTCTGTCAAAGTTTTCGCCTAAACAGTGCACGTAAGAGGTTTTTTATCTCTGAAAGGTCTTTGATCTCGCAAATCTTCAATGAAACTACTTTAGTGCTATTTAACAGACCATCTGTGTTCAAAAGAAAATGTATTCAATTATATTCAAAGAAGCCAATAATTTTTTTTATATTTAATTATTTTACTAATTTGTACTGTCATTTGTTCTATTGTTCTTCTTGTTTCAAAACAGTTAATTGTTACTGAAATTATTTGAATTTGGTGCAATGGATTTGACTCTTTGTATGTCAACTGAATTGTTCTGTGGATCATTTTTACAGAACAGCAAAGTATCGACTCAATTCTTAAGCAATTCTTACCAACTTCTGCTTCCCCAGCAGAAGTGAATGCCTTTGTGTGAAGAAAAAACGGCCAGTTGTGCTGTATCACATGTTAATGACAGTTTTTGCTCTTACAGATAAACAAGATTTGAATTGAAGATTATCTGCATAACAGAGAGGTCCTTATTTCCTGGAAGATTAGCCATTTTTCTTCTTTTCTTTAACAATTCTCTTTAAATTAATCTGAAACTGATTCACTTTAAATTAGTATTATTAAACACACAACTGATCTTACTTCTGCGTAAATCTTTTCTGCTTTCTGTTTCTGAGTGCCCGCGGCTTCAAAAGTAAAAAAAGAAGAAGTTGTTGTTCAGTCTTTTCTATTTCTCAAGACAATTCACACGTTCAACCGGAAGGAGAGTCACTCTGATAACAGACAACAATTACTCTTTTCTTGTCCCGCTAGCTCACAAAGCCCTGAACCAGAGCCCAAACATCCCTGTGAAGCTCTTTACGATATATTGTAATCTAATTTCAGATGTAAAATAAACGTTTGGATCGTCCTTTAGTAATATGGGTCACAACGGTTGTAAAAATAACACATTTGCAAAAAAACGGATAAGAGGTGGAAAGATAAAAATATATATTTTTTTCACCTTGCTTCCTTCGCAGTGAGCAGAAACAGATGAGAGCGACGAGGAAGACAGGAACTACTGCAGCCAGGCCGATTATCAGTGGGAGTGGGAGACTAGAGGTGCTGTTTTGCTGCAGTTGACCTTTTTTTTTAAAAAAAAACAACAAAATAACAATGACAGCAAATTTTCACTTACAACACATTATCTCAACCCAAAAACTAATATGTCAAGGAAAAAATGTACACATGGAACTTTTCACTATGAGTAGAAATAGTAATAGTTAATGTTTATTTGTGATGCCTATGTAGTTATTTTGTTGTTGTTTGTTGGCTCTGATTTCTACACCTACACAGTCCCTTACAAACACAGTTAAGGGTCTCACTTACCTTCTGTTCCAGTCTGATTTGCTCTGGCTGTAACTGTGATCACCGTACCATTTCCTTTAGCTGTAGATAAAATTGGTATTTCCACAAACACTTCACACACGTATCTTCCAGCAGCCTCATGCTGGATTGGAATATTCAAAGTTGAACATTTTTTTTCCTGCTCATTCAGGGATCCTTGAGATTGATTGATTAATTCCTGTTGAATTACTGTTTGATTTTTCAACCATCTGACTCTCCCTCTTTCAAACCATGTCCAGCAGCAGTTGATGTCTACTGCCTCCCCCTCTGTGACAGTAATATCAGGACTCTGGATCACAACCAATGTGTCTGATGAAGCACCTGTAAAGATGCACAGTGGAATTCAGTAAGCCAGGTGAGAAAATCTATCAGACGACTCCAGTTTACAGAGGCCAGACCAAAACCTACAGTTTGACCTTTGAATAAAACCCCAAGGCACGCACACATAGACGTCATTTTAAAAAAACGCATTCTTATTCAACCGTTAGGTGTGTGTGTGTGTGTGTGTGTTTGAAAAAAAAATATGTGAAGTTAATTTTTCCATTCAGATTGATCACTCGGAAATATTCTAACTCCAGATCTAAGATGGAAACAGGAAATGTGTCAAACCGTTAAAAATTCTAAAAACTGACTTTACCGTGTTGTCTCAACACAAAATGCACACATTTAAATTTCACATTTATATTTAATTTGTTTCTATATTTATGCATTAAGAAAAATCGCGGTTGAACATTCTCAAGCGCATTTTTACTTCAGCGGGTAAAATATGTTGTAAAAAAACAGATATGTTGTGTTACTCACTCCATGATGAGGGCGCACAGAGAGAGCTAAGAAGCAGTCCGCCCAGCAGAAGTCTCATCTTTTCAGACTGATTTGTCACAGGGGATTGAAAGTCATTTCATACCACTGTCATCAGTTCCACCCACCTCAAATTTTTTTCAAACCACACTGTGTTTTCCTTCCTTCTTTATACAGAGGGGGTTATATACAGAGGGCTGAACAGTAGCTTCAGAAACATCAAATCAGATTCTCACTCACGATAAAACAGTTTCAAGAATTCACAGCCTGCCTTTTAAATAACATTATCATCGTTAATGTTAATAATGAATTAATAATCAGTAATAATCATTATTTAATTGGGCATCCCTCTCCTTTACTACAGCTACTGTATTTACCTTTCAGTGTCTCATTTGTTGGATAGAGAATGGTGAGCAGTAAAAAGGATTTGACAGTCCAATAGAATATTCTGCTGTTTCCATTGAGGGTAACCTGTGGAGGTGTTTGACAGATTATCCAAAACCTCACCAGTGACTGTTCTACAGTTTTTGAGGGAAACAAATAGTTAGGATGTGTTATAACCATCAATCCAAAACTGCAGATGACACATTTAGCACTCAGTGAATGGACCTTTTCCAAATGTGAGTCGTTGTTTTAACTAAGTCGTTAAAAGAATGGGACCTAGCTCCCAATTCTTAAAAAGGTTCATTGGAATATCCTGACTTTGTGGCTTCCAAACAAGTAGATTTTTCTTAAAAAGCATGCCGTGATTATCTAATAATGCATTTTTAAAAAAGGGCTTCCCATCTACTGGTATGGGTAAACGCATTGTGGCTGTCTCAGCGTATCCAAAAGCCTGGCTTTTAATGTACCGTAATGTGAGACTTATTCAAAGTGAGACAAACTCTCCCCCAGTGTCTCAGAGTGACTCATTCAAATGTTTTAACAGTGAAAGAGCTTAGTTTGTACATGAAAGTAGCGAGGAATTCTTGCCTTTTTACATACTGGTCTGAAAGTTTTCCTTAGCTCCCACACTAGATGCAAAATATGTAAACAGCCAAGAGTTTTCAATTAAAAAGATTCTTAAAAATTCTTCTGATTCTGCTATTGCATTGACTAAAATCCAGTTATTTAGTGTACACATTCATGCTGCCTCTGTCTTTTTTGACTGTCCCTTTCTGATCATCTGTTTTTAACCTGGTTTGTGAGAAATGCTGAAAGAAAGGAAGTCACAATGTGTTGCTACACGGCTCAGCCGAGGAAGTCATACTTTTGTGGTGGAAAGCAAGTAAGTCAAAGTCTGTAAAGGGTCTAAATCGTAAGGTCTGTGAGTGGTTCTCATGCTTCATTTCAGATTGCTTTAGAGGAAACCAACACTGTAAGATAGATATTAGTGTGAATATCATTCACAAGGACAAGATCAATTACAAAGGTAGATTAAAGCTTTAACTTGCAGTTTAAAAAAGACAGGAAAAACAAACAGAAACAGTCCTTTCAGAAGACTTACACGACTGTAAGGTGGTTTAGTGTGCTGTTGTGAGAGTGTGTGCTTGCGGAAGAAGAAGAGGGTACATTCGGCCTCTGTTCAACTGAATCTGCGAGTAAGTTAAAGATCGGTGAGGGTCACAGATTTGATGTTTCATGTAGTCTATATGGATAATAACTAGAATCCAAGGGACACATTTGTACTTTTTTAAGGCCCAGAAAGGTAAACATATGTTCCCAAGTAAATGGACAAACAACAAGGGTATATCAGGAGGACCTTTGAGAGTACCACCCCATTCTTTGGGTCAGATTCAATACTTTCCTTTCTGAGCACGTTGGAGAAAAGATGCTCACACCAAATATTCACGCAGGGGTTTATTATTGTAATCCAAATGGTGTTTATACTGTATTACAGTAATGTTAATATAAATACCTCCATTGACTTGAGGAGTTAGGTACGGTCATATCTTTCTTATGTTTTGTAGTTCAGTTCAATTCAAAATACTTTATTAATCCAACAATGGGAAATGCTAACCACCCATCCATTCATCATCGTTTCCGCTTATTCCCTAATAGGGTCGCGGGAAGAACTGGAGCCTATCCCAGTAGTCAATGGGCGAGAGGCGGGGTACAACCTGGACGGTCCGCCAGTCAATCGCATGGCCACACAGAGACACACAAGGACAAACATGCACACTCACTCTTAAGGGCAATTTGGAATGTCCAGTCAACCTAACATGCAGGTTTTTGGACTGTGGGAGGAAGCCGGAGAACCCGGAGAGAACCCACCCGGACACAGGGAGAACATGCAAACTCCACACAGAAAGGTCCTGGTTCCCCCGGGACTCGAACCCAGAACCTTCTTTCTGTGAGGCGATGGTGCTAAACACCACACCACCCCGAAATACTAACCCAACAACAATTTGTAGCTAAAATTATCGCAAATCTAAAGAGTCAGGCTGTTAAAGTGGGTTTTGATGTCACCATGTACTGTCAAGGGACAATCATGTTCAGGGATGGAAGAGAAAAAGATGACCAGCTCATCTTGAGAGTCACTGAGTGGACAATATGTGGCAGTCATGTAGAGCTTGGCCAGCGCAGTTACCAGTGTTGAACTTGGCCTTAGGTATAGGTTTGTTAGCAATTAGCAGGCCAGTCCTACCGCCTCACCCGGATGGACAAAAAGTGTGGCAAAAAAGGGATCCTTTTTCAAGACACTTATCATCAGGAATCTCCTCTTGCAGCTACTGTTGCTCTTTCATCAGCTTCCTCTTGTACTTGATCTTCTTCTTGCTTTTCCTCTTGGACTTCCTCGGTGCTTTGCGGGGAGGTTGGTACATTTCTGGAAGCATCTGAAACATAACAACAATCCGTTTGAACATGGCTAATGTGGTAATGCATGGTCTCTAGACAACTCGTCCAGTACCTTGTGCATTCCGATGAGCCTTAGTCCCTAAAGAGTAGATCCAAAAGAAGGCTATGAAAAGGGCAAGGACCGGTAGACACCTCAGGACATGGATGAGCACATCTTCATGGAAAGTATCTAAAAGTCCCCCACATTTCATATTGTTAATATCAATAAATACAATGTCAACATCATCTAACATCTACAGGGTTTTCCATCTACCTAAAAAGAAAATTATCTAGACAAATGGAAGTAAGTTTAGGAATACGTGAACATAAAGATACAGGTCTTAAGAATACTTCAAGTCCTTAAGTTGTTTTCTTCAGGAAGTGTGATCAGTTCACGTTGGAGTAATTTCATTTGAGGACGTAACTGCTGTAAAGGAAGTCAAATGGGGTGGACAAAAGGCTTTAAAATGTTTTCTAAGGGCAGTTTTAATGCGAGAATACCCAACCTGATGATTACTTGAGCAGTCCTCAGATTTGTGCCATTTGTAGGCAACCGAGAACAGTTGCCTACAACATGCAACATTGGGTTTAAATCTTGCAGCTTGAAATGGGAAATCTAGCATGAATGGAAATGGGACACTTGTCCAAAAAAGAAATCTTTTTACTTCAGTGTACTTCAACGGTAGAAAAATACTAGGACAAAAACAATTGAGACAAAAAACTAAAGCACTGATAACTCTTATGAGCACACACCTGAAGCAGAATAGTTAAAATAGTTAAAATTAAAGAGATTGAGAGTGGCTTTTTCCCCCTGGAGTGGGACTCTTTAACTTCCCTTTATCTGAATAGCTAATTCTTTATCTATCTTTGAATTAAACTTTAAAACAGAGTGTACATCTAACCTTAAGTATCAATATGTTTAAATTACAGTCATCTTAGATGATCTTTTTACTCCATAAATCTATATAATAATCTAAATTTTGGCAAAACACTATCAATATGTTTACATTCCAGTCATCTAAGATTATCTTTTTTCTCCATAAATCTATATAATAATCTAGATTTGGGCAAAACACTTAAATTGTCCATCCCATGGCTAATATTGCACATATCAGGCTAGAGGTGTTTTGACACTTACCATCAGTTACGTGAGGACCTGATTTGCCATCTCTGCTTTCTGTGTCCATGACAGTGTTGATTGCGCCTTTTCCTGTTGCTATCACAAAAATGGATAGTCAGTCATTAGTATCAACATTTCCGTATTTAACATCTTAACTTGTTTTGCTATTGAACGAAGTAAAAGGCATCTGGACGTCAAATTTACAGATGTAATCATTTTTACTTTGGTAAACCAATAAGACCCCCCGCTTTCCGTCAGTAACGTGTGTGGTAGTTTATCTTTGTTGTCTGTGATGGCTCTGATTTCTACAAGTTTATGGTCCCTTACAAATATCTGTGCTCAAATACAACATAGTGAAGGAATTAGATTCACTTACCTTTTTTTCTGTTCTGATTTGCTCTGGCTGTAACTGTGATCACCGTACCATTTCCTTTAGTTAAGGATAAAAGTGGGATTTCCACAGACACTTCACACACTTATCTTCCAGCAGCCTCAGGTTGGATTGGAATATTCAAAGTTGAACATTTTTTTTCCTGCTCATTCAGGGATCTTTGAGATTGATTGATTAATTCCTCCTTAATTACTGTTTGATTTCTTAACCATTTCACTCTCCCTCTTCCAATACATTCTGTCCAGCAGCAGTTGATGTCTACTGCCTCCCCCTCTGTGACAGTAACATCAGGACTCTGGATTACAACAAATGTGTTTGATGAAGCACCTGTAAAGATGCACAGTGGAATTCAGTAAGCCAGGCAAGAAAACCATCAGACAGAGGCCAGACCAAAACCTACAGTTTGAGCTTTAAATAAAACCCCAAGGCACGCACACATAGACGTTTTTTTTTTAATTTTATTTTTTTTTATTCAACCATTAACTGTATGTGTATTGAAAAAAAATTATGGGAAAAAAAGATTAGCTGTCATACTAATGGCTAAACACCAGTAACGAGACACATCTGATTCTGTACCAGGAAATAAAGAATAGCAGAGCACAAAGGCATTGTTTTAAACAAATCATTGTTGTACAGTGTTGTGTATTGTTGAAAAAAAGACACAGAGAACTTAAAGCAGTCTGGTGGGTTTTGACAGGTTTATCAAAATCAAGAAAAATTCCTGTATAATGTAAACACAAACACATGCCTCTATACTTTGATAAGGAACATGTCATTGTGTGGTTATTTCAGCTGAATACTTCTGAAGTATTCGTTGTGTTTCACTGGCCAGTATTAGTGAACACTTAGAGGAAAAAACATACTCTTTTTTGGACAGCTACGTGACTAAAATGCGATATTAGGTATCAGACTTCTTCTGAACTCAAAAGAAACTTTGCCTCACTCGACAGAGAGCACAATCAGCGTGGTATGAAAGGTTTTCTGTTTGCTTTTGTTTAAAAGACGCAAAGCTGAATTTTATTGTCGATTCCTAATTCACCAGTTTTACGTTCCTT